ATTTGGTGAAATTAGTTACTAGAGTGCGTGAGTCCTAGCGAGAGCTAGGCAGGCGACCCGCCAACCCTTTGGTTCGCCTTAGGAAGAAGTGGGGCCGCCACAGGTGGTATCAGAGCTTTAGGTTCCAAATCTCTGTAGTGTATCCTAGGCTTTAAAACTTAGGATGCAGGACTGTGGTGTTAAGTGATTATTGGATAGAATATTAGGGACTAGAGTTTCCTCTATTATTGGAAAAGAAAAGAATTGGGTGAGGTGATTTGAAAAGTAGTAGGTGAAATTCTTGAACAATAATACTAGTCGATATTTATCGGAACAAGTGTGACTAAGATAAACCCTAGAATTCGAGGTATCCTTTAAGGTTTTAATTTTATATATATATGGGTGTGAAATTGGGGAATGCTTCTTAGATTGACGGTTTAAGTAAGAAATCCTGTGAACCATCTATGAGATATAATGGGGATTGAGTCGATTTGCACTTGGAAATGGCCAGTCCCAGTGTGAATTGACTTGGTTCCTATTTGACTCCTAAGTTAGTTAGTATATCTATTCTTTGAGTTTGAACTCGAAGCTTGAGGCTTTAATTGAGAAACCTATGGATCTTTTGTGAACCAAACCCTCCGTTGGTCCTCATCCTTGCTTATGCATGATATAATTACTTGTTTATTCACTATTTTTTGTGCTTATTTGGATTCGTAAGTGTAACATGACTTTGTATGTCTCTTTTGAAGATGGAATGCCCTTTTGTAGTGCACTTGTGTACCCCCTTTGTTATAAATTTATGAAATATGATGATTGACTGCATTCAAAACTTCTACTTTATTAATATATCGCCCTACGCTATTTTAAGTTCTGATCTTCTATAGGAATTAAAGATGGTAGGAAGAAAGATTAGTGGCTTTCTATTGCCCAATTGGAGGAAGTTGCTCAAATCCTGGTAGGACATGATAGGAGCTAGGTGAGAATAGAGTTTAAGTTATGATAGAGGGATATGGACTTTAATTTCAAATGACCCTAGTAGGAGTTTTTCTTAAAAAGAGTATTTGGCTATGACCTTCTCCTAATGGTGATTAATACGTAAACGCGAATTAAGAAAAGAGTGGGACGTGGTCCTCTAAGTTAACTAGGAGTGACGCTTTTGGGTTGCTGGTCAGTGTTGGGATGGAAGTATAAGGTTGTCAATAACTAGAGATTGAGAGTTGTATTGCTACTACAAGGCCCTAAGAGAGTAATTTCTGACTGTAGTCGGGAAGGCAGGGTTTTGGAGAGATTAGGATAATTCCTCTAATTGAAGATTGCTGAGAGATCTATTGGAATATGAGGAGCAGGATTTTTCCCCTATCACGTTTTGGAGACGGATGTACAAGTGGGAATTAGATACGAACATGGGATCTTAGAAAAAGCATACGCGTTAGCGTTTTAATCCGAGTGTAAATGATAGTAATGACAATTAAGGGTAAATACCAGAGTAGGAGTAGTGTTCCAGCACCTTTCTATGTCGCCCTACCTGTGCTTAGATTTCTTGTCTATCCGAGTAAAGAGTAGCTAAGGTCAACTTTCGGAGCTCAGTAAAACGAGGACATGGCGAGTTTGGGAGAGATGCTCAGAGAAATAGAGGCTCTTCAAGAGAAAGTGGAATTTCAGACGAAACTAACGGAATACTGGGAAGGACGATGGAAACAAGAGTTCGTGAAGAAGCTTGAATTGGAGAAAAAGTACGTGGACATACAGAAGAAATACTATGAGGCGTTAGAGTTAATATATGACAAGTCCGAGGAAGTGTGTCCTCCTATCCCGATTGCGTCTCAAGGAGTGGTTAACAACCAAGGAAAAGGGGGTGAAGGAAGCTCCAATGGTTCAAAAAGGAAGCGCAAGGGAAGTGACGGGGATCTAGTACCAGTTTCCCTTTGTGATTATTGTAAGAAACCAAACCACTCTACCGACAACTGTTGGAAAAAGAACTATAAGTGCTTTAGTTGTAGAAGTTCTAAGCATTTGGTGTCTAGCTGCCCACACAAAGTAGAGAGGGTTGTGAAGGATCCTTGATATCTCAATTGAACTTCCTGTACACTTTGGTATTCTTGTAGGAACTTTGGTACTTAATCTATGACTCTTAGATTTAGTATCTGGTGTTAAGGTGAATTGGTCGAGTTAAGTGCTTAGTACGACTCGTCCCTGGGGAAAACTTAAGCAATGCTTCGTATATATATTTTGTGATCGGTCCCGTGGACAGGTTTTAATCTATTATGGATATTCAAACTTCTAAGTTTTACATCTAATTCCGTTGGTCCGACCTGGACCCATTACCTAATCGTTTGAATTAAATGGAAACCTTTTTTTTTTTTTTACTTTTTACTTGTACTCCACCAACACTACGTATAATTCCAAATACTTGTTGTCCCTTTTTCCACAAGTAGATATATTCCTAATAACACCGTTAATTTCAAAAGCAAAATTTTGGGGGGTTTAAGTGCATCCTTTTGACCAAATATTTACATGACCAACATTAAACATCTGCTAAATGTTGAGTCCATTTACAAATGTTGACGCTTTAGGACTAAAACCTAAATTTCGATAACTGCATGTTTAATTTTTTTTTTCTTCTCGACTCACCTTCGAACTAAAGAGAAAGAAAAACTTTCCCTTCCTTTTGATGTATTTAGTACAAAACAGTTTTATTGGAAATTTGTAAACTCGATTGGTCAATTGTAAATTTGGACCACATTTTCTTACAAGTGTATTTAGTGTCAAAGGTCAATTTAATTATGATAATAATGTAAGAAGGTTTTTCCTCAACCAAATGAGATTTATAGTTAATAAGAATTTGAGGAAGGATTATTGTTAAAACCTCTTTCTCGTGTACGTCTCCCCTCCATATATATGTATACAAATCTACTCTTACTAGCTCAGTCTCAAATTGCAGAATTACTCTTCTTAAATTACTAGGGGAAAAAAGAAGTTTGAATTAACAATTTTGGTAAAAACATGGATTTTTGGGTCATGAAGAAAAGTCTGTACCTTTAACTCTGTTTGGAAAATTTAAAGTATATTTTTCCCATGAAAATATCCGTTATGCACGGAAGCCTCAATTATCTTTCTCGAATCGTGACTGATGTGTTTGGGACGAAATTCTCATTAGCCGTTTTTAGAGATAAAGAAACAAGGCCTGTACAATGTTGCTTCTTCAGAAAATCAAGTGCTAATGAATGATTTCTTTGACCATTTTGAGTCCAGAGGGTTAGTAAGTCTTATCATTTCATTGGAAATATACCACTCTACTTTGGTTTGGAATTTATGACGGAATTTTAGTACATGGAATCATGGGCTTGGGAAGCCTAAGATGAACTCTGGTGTATTTCAAGTACTTGGGATTGCACAATAATGTCAACTCCATTATAAGACGTATTTTGGCTTAGGTTGAAAAAAAAAATTTGACTTGAGTATCCTTTAAGATTCTTAAACCAATTAGTGAAGTAGTTTACCAGTTGAGCTTGCCTTTAAGTAGGGCTAGGAGTCTTAACGTTATCCTTGTGTCTCCGCTAAGAATATCACCTAGAATTTAGTCGTATGCTTTAACCAGAAGAGATAAAGGAGAGAAAAGATTCCAAATCCAACCATTATACCGTAGATTGAGGTTCTAAAACGAGTTGGAAAAGTGGCTTATTAAGTCGGATTTACCTTCAAGTATGGACAAGGTCCATAACATCTTCCATATATCTATGCTTAAGAAATATCATCTCGATCCAAGTCATGTGATTTATTTAGATGAGATTGAAGTGGACGAATCCCTATAATATGAAAGCATTCGATTAAGGTTTTGGATTGTGAAATTAAAGAATTGAGGAATAAGAAGATTGCTTTAGTTAGGTTTTGTGGAGAAATCACGATATCGAGGAGACAACTTGGGGAGTAGGAGAAGACTTGAAGAAGAAGTATCCAGATTTAACCACAAGATAAGGTGAGAATTTTGAGGACAAAATTCTTTTAAGGGGGGAAAGATGTGAGGACCTCAAAAATTTCATTATCCTCTGGAAAATTAAATCAAAATATTATTGAAAATATTAAAATTATCCAATAATATGTATTTATATTTAAATAATATTGTTTTCAATCATTCAGAAGTTACATTTCAATTTATTTGAATTTTTAAGATTTAATTGACGGTTCGCGTTCGGCAAAGCCCTAAGTTGAATTTTCGCGCACCGACGCGCGAATTAGTCGTAAGTTGAAATGTAGTATATGTAGAGGCTATAAAAAGGTATAATTAAGTTGGAGAAATATTAGATGAGGAATGTGAGGACTCGCAATTTATTTCTTTTAAATTCCCATTCTGAGGTTATTTAATTAGTTCGAATATTATTTTCTAGCCCTATTGGACCCAATTCTATAGCATTATAGCTCATGAGTAATTTTAAGGCAATTAGTTCGCAATTCAAGTCTGGAAAGTTGTTAAGTGTGAATAGTGCCCGTAGGCTCAGGAATAGTAACTGACTTGAGAATTCATGAGCCCGAATAATGGGAGATTTATACCCTAGTCTTAAAATAGGTATTTTTATGCCTAAATATCCATGTATTAGTTAGAAATGCCATCGTTATAAGAATTTCTCAAAAAAATTTCACCTTATCGCGCATAAGTGCGAAATACGCGTTTTACGCGCGCGATTTATTTGAAGGACTTTAGAACCTTATTTTGAGGTCATTAAGAGTAAATGATAATTACATGAATATATGTGCATTAGAGGTTTAGTGCACAGTTAAAACAAACCTCAGAGGAAACGGGCACAAGACGCGCGCGCGATACACTGTTCACGGTTGACTTGAGAGCACAAAAGTTGTACTACACTCAAGCTTCTCAAGGAAGCTTTCCATTTCAGATTTTTCCCTCCCTTTCCCCTCACCATAACCGCCGGTCTCTACTCTCTCTCACACTCCAAGTTTCACAATTTTTCCTCCACCATTTTCTTGCTCCAATTCACACCAAATTCACCACACAAGTTCAAGACAACTTGGACAATCACTTGGACAAAGAAGGAGCTGCACATCCACGGATTTTCTTGGGGCTTTTGGGACACCAAAATCTGACCTTTTAGCACACAAGTAAGGTAACCATGATCCACTCTTCAATTCTTGTTCAATGAAGGCCAACTCACACTTAAGAGCTTGATTATGCTTATGGGTAGCTTATTATTGTTGGAAATTGTTAAATGTGGGCTCTATGAACTCCCACTTTGAGTTGATGGCTGTGATGATATTTGATGATGGTTTTATTGTTGAATTAGTGCTTAAGGAAGTAGATTAAAGGTGCATTATTGCTAGAAACTTCATTGAGCTCTTGAAGCAAAAAGTTCCGATTCTGCCCCTGCCAAGACCGACCTTTTTCATGCGAAATTCTGAGGTTTTAACGGCTTGTATTTGATGTTTATGTGTTGTTGGAGTTGTGTGTAAAGTTTCATTGAAAGATATTGAGGTTCGGTTGACCAAAGGTGATGAATTCCAAAAACCAGCAAAATCTGGAAATTTTTCCCGTATGGCTCAGGCAGCCATTTTGTTTCGATCATAACTCTGCCCTCCGACATCGAAATTGAGTGCCGTTAGCGCCATTAGAAGCTAGACTCTTCCAGCTTTCCAACGGTGTAAAATTCACATCCTGGTTCCACCTGAGTGAACCGTGGCAGTCTTTTAAAGTCACCTGTCCTGCTCCACTGGTTCACTGGAAGCCAGGATATGTGCTGCGTTTTGTTGCCAGATTTCGAGCTAGTTATGAGTAGAATTTTAAAACGATTTCTTCTGAAAAATTGTATCCCTGTGAGTTCAGTTTCCAACGCTACCAACGATGCTCAAATCTAAGTTGAATTGAATGAGATGTGACCAAAATACGAAAACTGCTCTGCTGTTGAACCAAACTGTCCAAATTTTCCCAGTTTGTGTTCGAGTTTTTGATCTGATTCTTGACAAGAAATTGAGCTTCATGGATTGTGTAAATGATAATCTGAATGTCTATGGTCATTTGAGGGAAAATGCACCACTTTCATAGTTGAAATGATGTTGAGGAATTGAAGGAAAAGGAAGGTATATGCTGTCCAAAAAATTCTGGAAATTTTCCAGATTTTAGTCGAATTTTGGGGGTCAATTTTGACAAATTTCTGAACTACTTGGGCTGTATACATGTTAACCTATATGGGTGGTATTGTTTGGGTGCAAATGTAGCTTTTGGGTTGTTGAAAAATTTTGGATAAATTGAAGGGGAAATGGACTACTTGCTACCGAATGCACCTGAAATTTTTCCAGCTTTGAATGATAATTGTGAACTGTTTTCACGATAACTTGAGCTCAAATGATTTGTGTATTAATTAAGGGGTTTGTATAGCTCAATTTGGGACAAAAATCTAGTAGAGGTTACGTCCAAAAAGTGGACCAAAATCTTATTCTTCAAGAAGATGCCAAAACAGAATTTTTGTTTGAAATTAGAAATGGTTTGATGTTTGGATTTCATTGTGGGTAAATGTGGACCAAAGTTGTCCCGAAAATGTTTTCTAGCATTAACCGTTGTTACTAGGTCCACTTTGAGTTGATAACCTTGAATTTTATTAGACCAAATGCCCTATTTTGAGGAATTTGTCAAATCTGGAAATTTTCCTAAAAACTCAAGTTTTTGCCTTCATGAAAATCATTGGATTAAGTTGGTCGTGGAATTTGGCAAACTTAAGGAGTTTCTATTTTATAGAAATTCTAACGACTAGTTTTACTTGGTTTATATGATTGCCTCTTAAAGGAATTTCCCAAGATATGTTTGGGAAAAATTTGAGGGAAAAATTCCTCTAAATGGTTTAAATGTGATTTTTCTCAACTTGTGACACCAAATTGGTGTTAAATGGCTTATATGATTCTAGAACTTGGATGTTGGAATATTTGACGAATTTAGCAAGTTTTTGGGTTTTAAAGAAACCTCAAAATTTAATTTCACTCGATTTGTGGATTTCATTTTAAATTCTTTGAGAAAACGATTAATACTAGTTTGGGATTTTTGAGTGAAATTAAATGCTAGTTGACTCGAGTTAAATTCGCCAACTCAAAAGTGGAAATTTATGTGAATTGTTTGTATGATTTTAGGAGTTGGTGAAGAGCACAATCTCGATCAAAGTTTGGAATTCTAGACACTTCACTTGAGGTGAGTGTCTCTTGCATGAATCGTGTTTAACTGCTAGTTGAACTACTTGTTAAAAGTACTTGCTAGAGATATCATGAAATGTTATATGCTATGTGATTGCGTGAAATGCCACAAGTACAAGTGTTGCAATGTCGATTGGAGCGTGGTCTCGTCGACTAAATAAACCAAACAGATGCATGTACCACGCTCTATTAGAGTGGGAGGTACCTCTCTGTCGTCTTGCTAAAAGTGCTTGCAATATTCGTGTTAGAGTCGGGCCCGAAAATAAGGGGGAAGACGTTGCTAGGAGATGTGTAGATTAGGGAAAATGTCTACATGGAGTTTAGGTAGTGAAAGTTGACGGAGTGTCAACTACTATAAATTTTCTGATCAAGTGCGTGGACTTTGGCTCCTGAGAGCCCCGTATCCTTTTCTTGTCATGTTATTTCGCTTTCTTAAATTGTTAAGTGCTTACTTGTCTATTTGTACTTGTTAAATTGCCTTATGTGAATTGCATGTTTCGAGGCACCACTGAGCTATTGGCTCATCCCTTCCAAATTGTTTTCCTTGACAGGTTCTGAAATGCATGAAGTCTTGGAGAACTAGAACAGAAATGTTATATTTTGAATGCTCACTTTTGTAATTGTATTTTTGGAAACGTTGGTATCTTTTGGATGATTTTTGTATTTTTGGGAAAATGTGAATCCTGTGGTGCTTCTGTGCCCTGGATTAGGAACTTTAAATTGTAAATTAAGTTGAATTTAAGTATACTAAGCTCGACGTTTTCGTTGGTACTTGGAATTGTGTTTTGGGCTGTATAAGTTGAATTGTATGAATTATTTAAGTACGTGACTTGCTCGAGAAGTAAGGTTTATTTTCGATTTATATTTGGTGAAATTAGTTACTAGAGTGCGTGAGTCCTAGCAAGAGCTAGGCAGGCGACCCGCCAATCCTTTGGTTCGCCTTAAGGAGAAGTGGGGCCGCCACAATACTCGAGCATACCAACTAGTCGAGAAAATAACACTCCACTTGACAAAACTAGAGACCTATAATTCGTTATCTAATTGACCAGACCCTTGCCGGCTCGACTCGATTAACTATCCAGTGGGGTTTGGGTTCCCAAGCAGTTAGTATAGTCGATGAGATAACATCTCCAATCGACTTAATCAAGATAAAAGTACGGAGATGGAATGAGAGGCACCTCCCACTCGGATTGAGTGTGGTACATGTTGCCGCTCAACACTTCCAAGTCAAGCACAAGCAATGATGGAGCTAGGGGGGCAAAGGGGGGCCATGGCCCTCCTAAGTTTTGAACATTTTAATTCATAATATGTAAATATGTGGTAAAATAAAATTGGCCCCTCCTAAATTTTTACAATTTTAGTTTATATTAAGAGAGTTGATATATATATATATATATATATATATATATATATGAATTAGTCATCGAGTGGATATATTTCTTGCAACAATTGATTATCAATTGCAAGAGTTACATAGCAGGTTTAATGATCATACCGTGGAATGAGTGTTTTGAGCAGTGCTTTAGATCCTAGAAATGGATTTATGCTGTTCAAGATTGATGATATTTGTAAACTTGCAAAGAAGTTCGATCCGAATGATTTCATGGAGCAAGAACTAGTACGTCTAAAAATAGAACTTCAACATTTTGAGTTTGACATTCCAAATCATCCTGCATTGCAAGAGTTAGTTGGTATTCATGAGTTATGTCAAGGCTTGGTGAAGACAAGAAAATTAGTGATATATCCTCTTATTGACAGATTGATTAGACTTGTTTTTACTCTTCCTGTATCAACTGCAACTACAGAGCGGGCATTTTCAATTATGAAAATAATCAAGACAAAGCTCCGAAACAAGATGGAAGATAATTTCTTGAATGATTGTCTAACTGTATATATAGAAAAGGAAGTTGCAGAAAAACTTAGCAGTGATTCAATCATAGATGAATTTAGTTCTATGAAATAGCGTAGAGCTCAATTTACTTCTAAGAAAAGATGTTGAAATTTCAAAGTATATTAACATAACTTTTATCTTTTTTCAATTGAAAATAGTTACATTTATATTACATGGTTATATATATATGTGACATATTGGAGAGCATCTTCTCATAATGTGTAGATTGGATGGTTTGTGATGTTACAAGATATTTAACCAAAGGTTATCTTTTTTGTTAATTTTTGTTATGACTGTACTGCATATTTATGAATAGACATACCTCTATAATTAAATTTAATATTTGATATTTTTAGATGTCATATATTTAATAGAAGAAAATTATTTTAAACATAATATATTAAGATAATTTTATTGGAAAAAATTTTGGCCCCCCTAAAAAAAAATCCTGGCTCCGTCACTGAGCACAAGTACAAATACAAGTACAGGTCAATCAAGTTCAAACAAGTACAAGATCATTTAAGAAGGGGAGGACGAGTGCGAATAAGGACACATTCGCCTAGCCCTGACCAAGTCACAAATAATGCCTAGCATGTCACATTTCCAAGCATTTCAAGTATTGCAAGTCAATATACAGATCACATGCAAATCAAGTTACTTGTACATGCATGAATGAGATATCAAGTGTTTAGTTGAGTTAGATCAAGTACGATAAAGTACACACTCGCCTATGAAACGTCAAATCATGTGTTTAGTAAATTTTTAGCAACAATGAGCAGGGAACATGTAGTTGGAACACTCACCAATAATTTACTGCTTTCCAATACCAAGTTCAGGTTCAACTCCCTGGTTAGAGTCAAAATCTGCGATAAAATATCGTATAGCAACTTGAAATCAATTAAGGTTTCAAAATATAAGAGTTTCATTTAAAGAAAATCAAATAAATAGAACTCATTTAAGTAGTATTCATTTTACTTATTAAACCCTAGAAAATTCATGCTTGCTATTTTAGTTTCGATAAAAAAAGTGTTTAAAACTTTTAATTTCGCAATTTGGTATAAGAAACGAGAAAATCTTGTTTAAAGCGGTCGCTACTTTCTCTTTATAAAATATATAAGTTCTGGCAAAAAAATTTCAGCTTATACATCCCTACTAAGGGGAACTCAAATACCCTAAACAATCTAGGTTCAATTCAACCAAGAATCACCACTCAAGTTTCAATTTCACTTGCTTGAACTTCACGAAATAAAACGGACAGCATTTCCTTTGTATTTTTCTAATTTTTCAGCCATTTCAAGGCTTTATTTTCTTCTCAAATCATCACCAAGTCAACACATAAGAAACAAGATAAAACAGCTCTTAATCTAGGCCATAAAACCATCTAATTGTAGCTCATTTCTAGCATATATCATCACAATATCAAAAGAGAAAATTTCTCTATTAAAGCTGAAATTGTGGAACTAAAGCTGGAAATTCCTAGTTGAAAACTAAAAAGTCACAATAAAACTATAAATCTTCACACAAGTCCATAACAAAGCTAAATACCATCATATCATAGCTGAAAAACACAAATCAAGGCTGTAAAATGAAACCCTAATTTGGAAATTTCACCAATCTTCACAAATCTTGGTTATCTTCCATAAAACTTCCAATTTCAAGTCATCTTCCCAATAAATTGCAAGATAAGAAAGAGAAAGATAATTTTCCAGCTTATTACCTTCAATCCTCCAAGAGAAAATGGAAAACCAAGCCTTTCCTCTCCAAAGAAACTCCACTACAAGCTTCCTTGCTACCTTATTGCCACTTTGTTCGGTTTAGTTTTGTTGTTCTTGTTGATTTTCACTCAAACAAGGTAAGAATCAAGGTGGGAATGGAAGTTTTCTCCTCTCTTTTCCCTCTCCAATGGTTCGGCCAAACCAAGCAAGAAATGAAGAAAAATGGGCCAAGAAGAAAGATAAGAAGAAAGAAAACTCATTTGGTCAAAGCTATCTTGGATTGCCAACACTTGGCAACCAAGTTTTCCTTATATTTTTTTCTTTTCTCACCTTTTTTAGTCAAATATTTTGGCTGGATTAATAAGGAATTTAGGGAGGATTAGGTGAAATAAAAACGAGAAGATTACGGCAAGAAAGTATTGGTCAAGTGGTGTACTCAACCAGTAACAAATGGCGCACGCTGGTTCAAGCCTATTTTCCTTAACTTCTTTGTACTTTTGTTTTAACTTATATTTCACTAACTTATTATTAGCACTTCTAATCACACCCTTCCTCTTACTTAATACCCGCTCTTATTCACCAAATTTAGTACACACACCTTATCTAGTGATCACATTACCAAAATGCACCCAAAAAAACCCTAGCATGCACCATTCCTTTAGAAAAATCATAACTTGAGTTATAAATATCAAAAATTCATATAACTTGACCTGTTAAAAACTAGACTTAAAATACTAATAATCTTTAGAAAACATCTCAAAGAGATTCAGTTCATAAGTTGGTCCAAATTGAGTCATAATTTACTACAACATTCCTATTTTTACTTGTACAGGACATAATTTTCAGTCAACTTTGCTGATTTTCTGGTATTTATAGAAATTGAATCAAACTCTGAATTTTGTACCGTGGGAAGCGCTATGAGTCTATTTTCAAACGCAACAAACGGAACTCCATTCCGACTTTCCTATACAAAGTTATAGCCATTTTCCCAAATCTGTGCAGAGCCTCCTAAGAAAATTTCTATATTTTCTAACAATTTGAAATTATGAAACTAAATTTACTCCCTTGGCTCAAATTCAACCATTAAAACAACCAAAAATCTAAGGCAAGTAAGTTCAAATAAGAGTTATAAAGACAAGTAAAATTTCGGGGCCTCACAACTAGACCCTTAGATCGTTCATGCGTTAGATTCATCTCTTGTGTGATATTCATTACATTTTCCGACACATTTTTAGGATTTTTTTCTCATTTGCATGATATTTCCTATTATATTATCCCCTACCTTCTATATGTGTTAATCATATCATTTAGAATTGCATCTCATTTAAGGAATTGTAAAATAAGTTGGTTCATTCGCTTGTTCATATTAGGAAAATTATTCTTTGAATGTGCATATGGGTGATTATAACTCTTTAGTTTAAATACCCCGTCATTCCTTGTACAAAAAAATAATGTCACGAGATTTTGCCTCTCATACCCATTATGCCTTATTCCTTTTCCTTTGATCACTTATACCTATGTGTATATTTTAATTTTCTTTTTTTCTTTTAATTTCATCATTCATATTCTCTCAAGAAATTATTTGGGCCTTCGTAATTAATGCAATTGGTATCAATTAAACTCCTGAATGGACATTTTGTCCCTTTCGATACTTTCTATAAATTTAGATTTGCATCCATGTAAGAAACATCCAAACGTGATAAATTTAAGCGTTAGATTAGGAAAATTTTGACTAAATCTCGCAGCTAGTTTAGACTAGATTGAAAGGGTGCCTTAGATTTAAGTTAGTCGAACCTTTGCCTTCTCTTTCTTCAACCGTGACTCCCCAACTCATTTTCCTTTGTTTTCAAATATCTGGAGTTGTTGAAAAGGGTTTTATTCTTATTTTTGTTAAAAACATTTTTGAGTAACTTGGTATACCCAAACTCAATACCAAGTAGCGACTTCTATTTTTTCTTAAAAACTCTTTTAGACTAAATTTTGGACCCAAATTGTCGCATT